TATTATTATTAATATTATTATTATTATTATTTATTATTATAATGTGTGTTACAGCGACAGAAATCGTGGGCCCATCTCATAGAGCAATGGCTGGAGTATGCGCTATGTACTTCTGGGCAGTAGGTATGTTCCTCCTGGTCTTCCTCTTCTACTTCATCCGAGACTGGCGCATCGCACAAGTGACGTTGACGGCTCCCGGCCTCCTCTACATCTCATACTGGTGGTGAGAGTCGTCCGTGGACAACCTAACGCCCTGCTATACATGTAGTACTTTTACTTTGAGTAAATTAAGGAACAGTAACACAAAAAACGGTTTCGTTGTGTGCAGATTAAAGTAGAATTAACAGAGGGAAACATGCAGTTGGGAAGAGAAAATTGGGGCCTCTTATTTGCGTCCTCATAAGTTTGACTTCATAACATCGCTCTAGACACAAGGGTGGGATAAAACGTCTAGTTTTTTTAAATTTTTTTTTTTAGATCAGATCGTGGATCGTCAGCGTGAATTAAACGAGAGCTGGAAAGAAGCCATAGCATTTACATATTTATATTCTCATAATAGCTGTATGTATGGCATTAATTAGGGAATCACCATGTTACCAGAGAGAGTCACAAAGGACAAAAGATATATGTAATGAATTCAAATAAAACCTAACCCAGTTTCAGTCCTCAGCCTTCAACCGAGGAAAACAAGATTACGTAGAAACAGTGATTGTTCCATAGATGGGACATTTTCCTGATTGATTAATGAGAGTCAACGAGGTGAAATCAGGCACTCGCAAAAATAATGACATCGAAGAAATCGGCATTTGCCATCCCATTTGGCAATTATAACTAATTTGTTGGGTTTTTTTTGGCTCAACACCTTTTGCGCAAAATATGGGTAATCTGGCTAATTCTTTTTATTTTAATGACCTTCGCCTTTCATTCTTAAGTCAGATTAAACGAAGAAAACAGTCACCCTTTCCTCTGGAAGAGTTTTTTTTTTGTCAGCGTAACCTTTTTAAAAAAGCGTTCTTCCGAAATTTTAATTCTTGTTTATTCAAAAACTTGTTTGTTTCACTTTGATTTTTTTCACACAAATTATATATATAGGGTAACTCTGTTCGCAAAGGGTGCGCATTTGCAAAGAGGACGCCACCGAATTTTGAGGACACTTTTTTAATTGGCTCAAAGAGAGGAGTGGCCCATCTTGTTATGTAGCCTACTATCTTTGCTAACAGTTACAGTCCCTTTGACAAAATTACTCTGTACAGCCCAGTCCAATATGTTCGTCTTTTTACAGATGTAGGCGACTTCCAGATCATTTCTTTTGTTTGTTTTTGTAAAGTGTTTTACGGCGCTCGCAACTGCATAAGGTCATATGGGTGCGCGGGACACACCTAATATTTTCAGTTGGCAAGAAATTTTGAATTTTGTCCGGGTGGCGGCCGAAGCCTACTCTTATCGATTTTAGGCCACCAAGGGATCTTTAACGTGCGCAACTTGCACGCGGGCCCTCCGATATTTTTCGCCCTTGTCCGAGAAGGCTAGGTGTAGATCTTTCCTACCAGAAGATCAGGGGTGTGGCCGAAAGACAGCAGTAAGGAGGAGCCAAGGAGAATTTTTTGTTTTTGTAAAGTGTTTTACGGCGCTCGCAACTGCATAGGTCATATGAGCGCGCGGGACACACCTTATATTTTCAGTTGGTAGGAAATTTTGAATTTTGCCCGGGTGGCGGCCGAAGCCTACTCTTATCGATTTTAGACCACCAAGGGATCTTTAACGTGCGCAACTTGCACACGGGCCCTCCGAGATTTTTCGCCCTTGTCCGAGAAGGCTAGGTGTAGATCTTTCCTACCAGAAGATCAGGGGTGTGGCTGAAAGACAGCAGTAAGAAGGAGCCAAGGAGTAGCAGTAGAAAGGCTGCAGAAAGAGTCAGGAGCCCAGAGGAGGGGGCAAAGGAGGTGAGGTGGTGGGGACAGAAAGTAGAAATGAAAGCAGACAACAGAACATTGCTAGAGAGCAGGAAAGGAGGGGAAAGGAGTCAATTTTATAGAAGAAAAATTTTCGGTCGCTACCCGGATTCGAACCCGGGACCTTTGAATGAGAGGCCAACACCTTAACCTCTAGGCCACGAGTGCCCCCAGCCAAGGAGTAGCAGTAGAAAGGCTGCAGAAAGATTCTGGAGCCCAGAGGAGGGGGCAAAGGTGGTGAGGTGGTGGGGACAGAAAGTAGAAATGAAAGCAGACAACAGAACATTGCTAGAGAGCAGGAAAAGAGGTGAAAGGAGTCAATTTTATAGAAGAAACATTTTCGGTCGCTACCCGGTTTCGAACCCGGGACCTTTGAATGAGAGGCCAACACCTTAACCTCTAGGCCACGAGAGCCCCCAGACCATTTCTAAGCTAAAACTAAAAACACAGACCAAACACAAAGGCACTACCGCAAGAAAGAAGGGAGAATGTGTAACAAGCAACTGTAAGCAGATGGACAAGTCTCACAGCTTCCATTTTTATCCTGAATGAGCAAGAAAATGCTGCCCAAACACTTTAAAGATCGCCCCTGTCCTGCAGATATGTTTTTATATCTGAAAAGCCTATTCGCTCTACTTGAAATCTAATTGATATGCGGTCCCAAACCCAGTAAAACTGTGAGAGTACTTAAATCGTTGGATTGTCGCTTTGATAGATTTTTCTCGAAAGCCTGCGGCTCTGGTGTTGCCCCGTGTTAGTTACTCGTATACAGAATAAAATACACGTTATATACATTTTAATGATTTCTTCTTGACCAAACTGTATGATAGGCTGGCAGTGAACTTCATCTTGTCCCTGCATACCACAGAACAGTCCAAGAATCCCCCAGATGGTTCATTTCTAAAGGGGTCCACCACGAGGTTCTAAAAGTTCAGCGAAGTATGGCCAAGACAAAGAGCAAATATTGTATCATTCACGATTTTCATTTCCAACAATCAAAAACACCCCGGTCGTGGTATAATAGTAGTACCAAAAAAAATATCAAAAGACGTACTGGTGAAACATCAACACCCCCCCCCCTCTTTTTACGCGCACACACACACAACATACATACACACACACACTCACACACATATACACACACACACTCACACACATATTACACTCACACACACATACACACACACACTCACACACATACACTCACACACACATACACACACACACTCACACATACATACACACACACTCACACACACACACACTCGCACACACACATACTCTACAAAAAATAAAACAGGCTAATACAGAATTTTACAAAAGTTTTACCAGTTTGTAGCAAAACAAAAATCCGACAGAAAGCTACAAAAACAACAACGACAAGAACAACAACAACACAACAACAACAACGACAACAACAACAACAACAACAACAAAATAAAAGACACCCCCCCACACACACACACACGCACACATAAATAAAGTGCACTATTAAAAAGCACGAAACAAACGGTCAAACACATGCAACGTCAAAAGATATTATAATAATAAATCATGTAAGTTACTTATTTACATATCAACACACACGATATACAATTGACAGCTAACTTTTCCTTGCTCCTTGCTACCATAGGATAATCCCTGAGTCCCCAAGATGGCTCATCTTGAAAGGGCGCCACTATGAGGCGGACAAAGTTCTGCGCAGTATGGCCACGACGAACAGGAGGCCGGTCCCAGAGCAGATGCTCAACGACCTGGCAACGTCTGCAGAGACAGACGTCACGAAAGCCAGCTTGAGGGAGGAACAGCAGCAGCAGCAGCAGCAGCAGCAACGACAGCAACAAGGACAGAATCTACGTCAGCAGTTATGGCTTTTGTTCAGCAGCCCTGCTCTCGCTGGAAGGTTTCTCAATCTGTGTTTTAACTGGTGAGGTTTTTCATTTTGTTTTTGTTTTCGTTTTATTTGGACGTGTCTAAATGGAGAGTGTGGAGAGAGAGAGAGAGAGAGAGAGAGAGAGAGAGAGAGAGAGAGAGAGAGAGAGAGAGAAAGAGAGAGAGAGAGTGAGAGTGAGTGAAAAGATGACAGTGGTCTACCAAGAATTTGCTTCGGGCTTTAAATCAGGAAATGGGAGGAGCCCTGAGTTCGAACATTTCGCTACCTTGTTCATATCCAGCGCTGAAAAAATCCAAGTAAAAAAAAAAAATTATGTTTGAGCACGGAAGCATAAACCTTTTGAAAATTTGTAGACCAGTGCATTCACCCTCACCCCTTCCCCTCTTTCCTACCTGAAAATTTCTTCTCCCCACCCAAGCTATCAACGAGTGTTACTTTGCTCGGATTTTAAACATTGGCTCCCTGATTGATGGTTGCACACAAACACACATACACACACACACACACACACACACACACACACACACATACGCACACACAACCACACACACACACACATACACAAACACATAGAACACCCTAAACTATAATATCCTGC